CGGCGGGAGGTGAGGCCAGGCGGGCGAGTGGGCGACCAGTGTGGGGTTAACTCGGCTGGCCTTTACAGCTGAACCTCGGCCAGGTTTTCCCAGGCTGGCAGGCCCTTCCTTAAGCTGGAGGGTGGGTCCGTGTTGAGCAAAAAGGGCGTCCAGGAGCAGGGCGCTGGCCTCTCGGGGCCGCCGCAGTCGCGTCAGGGGTGCTGAGGTGAGGCGAGGTGAGGCACTGGCGGCCAAGCTGCTGGTTTCAGAAGGAGACTGAAAGTTATGAAACTATGACGATCTTGGGGAACCCTGCTTTTCAAATACATGTGTGTGTGTAAAGCATTTACATAAAACTGACTAGAATTCATTTTAAAAGAGAAATGAGGAAGGAAAAAAAAATCCACGATTTCTCCTGTTACTTTTTTAAAATCCCGTTTCCTTCAGCGACCTGTGATTTTTCTTCCTTAATTGCACAAAGATTGTAGCCAGCCACAGTGCTAAGCCCTGACTGCGTTACGCGGCTTGTGTAACTGCTGCGATTACAATTAAACACGTAAAAATTGCAGTCCTCTCTTCTCCATTTCATGGGGACGCACTGAAAACTCAGAAGCTCCTGGTAATGACTCACGACTTTAAATTCATTTTACTGAACTGAGCAAACCTCAACATCATGGCCAAACAAATAAACTGGCAAGTTTAGGGCAGATCTGAATGTAAGGGGACAAATTATGCAGGCCGTTCCAGTCTCCACTAGCAACATGGGGAAATACCAGCTGTAGTTTTTTTGACCACAAAAGGCACAATAGGTGCAAGGGAGAATGAAGAAACATGGCATAGAAATAAAAGGGTGGATGGGAGGTAAGGGGAGAAAAACTAGAATGAATTTCCCTGAGTCAGTAAAGCAGAAAATAATTGTTACTGTGGGGATCAACTCTGAAAAAGTCTGCAGTGATTAGACTGCCAAACTTTAATAAATTGCGACTCGTGGGTGTTAGGTGGTCTAAATAATTCTCTTAAAGGGCTTTGCAGCAATGAGTGGAGGCTATGAATAGTGGAAAGACTTAAGACTTTTTTTTTTTTCTTTCTTTCCAGATCTGCTCACAGAGTTTAGATGCTGCTGTCTGAGAACTCAGCTTCAGAAACGTAAGAGTTGTCTTTCAGAGAGGCTGATAATCAGCGGTTCTGATTAAAGGTGATAGATGTACTGACAGAGCCTAAAGCAAGTATCCCAAACACAGAACCTAACCGGGAGGGAGTGCTTCTCCACTATCTTAGGTTTTGGGTAGCCATTTATAACAGCAGAGTAGGAATTGATTCTGGTAGTGTTTTACAGACACGTAGGGGATGTAAATACATGAAAATGAAAGGCGTGGGGAGTGCAGACCCTGTAACATGCATGACATTTCACAGAACCGTTGCACACCAAATTTGGGTCCAGGTTTTCAAGTGGGACATGGATATTTTCTTTCTGAAGGAGAAGTCCCAATTTTGGGCTGTCCATTAAGAAGCACCTTAGGGTTGCTTTACAGAGGATTTTCATTTTGACTCAAATGTTTGGGATCCTTTATGTGTTCTTTGACACAAGAGTTGTCTTAAGAGCTTGCCAATGGCCAGTCAATAGTGCTGTAATGCACAATTTCTTCAGTTAAGCTAATGCAACAGAGCAAGATCAGAAAACAAACCCATTTTGGTATTTATTTTTCCTTAGCCAGATGATTTCTGTGATCCAGTTTAGTATACAGCTTCTAAATCTATTATATATGCACAACTTTGAAGGTAAGAAACTGCAGTAGCCAGGGCAAGGAACAGAGAGAGGAATTTCGTAATTGTCCTTACCTCTGAAGAAAATGCAATGTGTCACTATGACAGTCATATGCAGCCTGATACACAGT